TACATTTTCAAAAAGGATTGATGAAATATGTTGGCCTTGAAACTCTGCAAAATCAGGAGGTGTGGTTCATTTTATGCTGCATTCAACTGCATGCCACAAATGCTGTCCATAGAGATGAACTCGTAAATAACCTGAATCATGTGGCGTTATGAGGAATGGCCATATTAGTTTAGAGTAGTGATGCTTTCAAGATGTTTAAAGATGTAACAGTATGAGTACCAATGGCTGGGTGAAAAAAGAAAAGACTGTGCGCATGTGAGTGTGTGTGTGTGTGAGTGAGTGTGAGTAAGGTCACTGCATGCTGTCACACTTTTGACTTGAAGAGTCAGCCTGCAGTCTGGAAACACAACACGCGCTGGATAAAAGAGCTATTGTGAGCTCCAGCACTCCGTATCAGACAAAGCAGCATTGTTACACACACACACACACTCCATAAATGATTGCAATACACAGGATGCAGAATTGCATTTAAATTTAAGAGCATAGAATTAAAGTGAATTTTGCAGTATTTCAAGGCTTTTAGAATTAGGTTAATTTCTACTATTCATCCAATGCATATCGCTTTTAAAGCCAAGATTATGTCCCTGAGGTAAATCTTATTTTTTATTACATTTTTTTCTGTTAAACCCTTATCTGGTGGAATGTACCGATTTAGTAACAGAAAAAAAAGCACTTGAGTTGCATGCATAAGTTGCATGTATTAGACGCTGATTTGGTTAATGTAGTCATGAGACAGTGACATGGAAATGTCCTAAATATGCAGATGAGTGTTATTAACACTTGGGCTATTTACAGTTCCACACACTATCTTTTCCCCTCCCACACACATACCCATATGCACAGATTTTCCCAGGATGCATTGCAACACCAAGCCCTGGCATGCTCAGGCTTCTGGGCTCAATCCACTTACGTAATATTTCTCACGGGCCATCTGCACCTCAAGCACTTCTACTCACTTCTCTTTTGATTGCTTCTCCCTCAGATGTTCAACACAGGGTTTACCCCAAAAACACAAAAGTCCTCACTTAACCAATGCCAAATATCTGCATCCCTCACCTCCCAGCATGCATCATGGGCAGCTGATTGATTAAAGCTGTATATCCCCCTACACTATACCCTATCCTGACCCAACTTACCCATCACTGAAAACCTTTAGTATATCTTTTTTATTTTCAATAAAACACAGTTTAGTGTGTGTTTTAAGTCATCGGTTCAGCTGAGGTCATGTGGGAGTGGAAACCACTTTCTACAGGAACTAGTTCAAAGTTCAGTTCACACATTTTAACTAGCTAGCTATGATAATTAAAGTTAGCTAATGTTTCATAGCTGGTCTCGATTTGCCAACGAATCTCACAACAATCTTCAGCTGCAATTCCTGTGTTCAATTTCAACAGCGACTTGGTTAAATAAATAGTTTTATTAAATATAGGCCTATCTTACAGTGATTTTGCATGACATTTTTCACTTTTGGTTGAGCTCTGTGGGCATTGTATGAAGCGTTTGCTAGATAAGAGAGAGACTAAATTAAAAGTGAATAAAACATGAATAAATTGATTTTTTGCTCAGGTCTTTGGTTCAGGCAAAAACAGTAAAACTGGGAGAGCAGAACAGATGATTATGTTTTATCAGTTCATCTTCTGAACAGCTGTGTCTTCACTTTAATCATGTTTCACCTGCAATCAGCGACTTGAAGAAAGAGGGAGGAGAGACGTACGGATTCACCAGGGATGAGCTTAATCAACCTGCTACGGATCAAAACCAATCATGCCACATCATTAGCATAATGAACCCACCAAAAAAACAAAAAACAGCATGAGGTGGGAAAAGTGGGATTTTTCAGCTTCACATTAAAATTACACATTTACAAGATTCAGTCACTGTGTTTCGAGTTTTAATGTGAAATTCCATTTCTATCATACAGCACTTTTATTTTCTTCCCTATTGTGGTGTATCTCAGAGTGAAATGTCTTTTTCCGATTGGGAATTGGATAACTCAGGTGACGAGTAAGATGCCGGTGAACACGTCATCAACATATGAATCAAGCATGAAATCAAATTTTTTTATATGTAATATTGTAGTGTTTATTATAAATGATTTATCTGTGCACTTCATTATTTTTTTTTAAATTCTTGTAACCATAATTTTTAATCAAAGACATTACCCTTCCCTCCCAAAGTTTTGCGTTTTCAGGTCTCCAAAACACTGTTGTGTAAATGAACAGTCAAAATGCATAAAGTTTAATTGCAAAAATCACTAGGTTTTGCAGTATTATTATGACTGATGTCAGATGTGTCTGACTGTAGGCTATGTCTCCAAATAAGGTTCTTCTGTTGAGTTTTAATTAGAGGAAATGACTAGAGAGAGCTGTTGGAGAGAGGATGGGGGTTCATTAAATCAGCCTTGGTTTTAAACTAAAATGATCTTATCTCGAATCTCGTACTCTGACTGTTCAGATCTGACCATTTCCATCTACAGTGCACTATTAAATTTTATATCTGCAATAACTTTGTTGAAAACATAAATAAAATCCTGCTGGTATCTGAATTTTCCTAAAAGTGTCTGTTTTTCTTTTAAAATGTTTTAATATAAATTACACATTAGAAAAAAAAACATATTTATACTTACACTGTAAAAAAATATTGATGGTTTAACTTAAAAAAGTAAGTAACCTGGTTGCCTTCAAATTTTAAGTTGATTGAACTGAAAGAAGTGAGTTAATACAATGAAGGAGATTAATTTAACCATCAGAAACTCAAAATTATATGTTATCTGAACTAAATAAATTATTTAAGTTGATTTGACCAAAGAAAAAATGTTGTGATTACTAAACTGCAAAAAAATATTGTTGGTTTAACTTAAAGTAAGTAGCCTGGGTTGCCTTAAAATTTTAAGTTGATTGAACTGGAAAAAGTGAGTTAATACAATGAAGGAGATTAATTTAACCATCAGAAACTCAAAATAATAAGTTATCTCAGCTAAATAAATCATTATAAAGTTGATTTGACAAAAGAAAATATGTTGTGATAACAAATCTTGAAAATATTTTTATTTCAACCATAGACGTCATTTTGTCCGCACTAAATTTTGCGGTATTCTTGTTGCAAAAAAAAAAAAAAAAAAGTATTCTTTTGTTACATTTCCCGCGGTTGATCTTAGGAAATTACACTCGTTTAAATTTACAGTTTGGTATCGTTTTGTTTTTAAAAAATATCCTTATACAATAAATGCATTAATCTCTCAATTGGGTATTATAGAGTTAGTTTTGGCACTTCTAGTGTTAAGAAGAGCCTGTCTGTCTGTTCTTTTTCTGCATTTCTCTACATTTGCCTTCCAGCTCCACTAGTGCAGCAGGAGATCAGAGTCTGTATAAATGAGTGAGCCATCTGATGGGGTTAAAGAGGACAATGTGTTCACTTAATACACAGTTCACTTAATACACCATTACATATGACAGAAGATGATCTGTCCACATTTATAATGAACTCACTTATTGCTTTGTTGGTATCTATATATGCATTTATGCAAAAGTGGGTTAAAGTCAATATCAATATTTTCAACAGTGATTTTTTTTTAATTATTGTTATTATATTTACATATTTTGCATCATGGAAGTAAAATGAGTTGGAAATACCATTTCAGGTGTACTTTGAGACATATTTGAAATCCAGCCAATCAGACTCCAACACCATGTCTTGAAGAACCAGTATTGATTGCTTTCAACTTTAAATTAAATTCAATTATAGATCTTTGTCTCTAAGTAGTACCGATACACTGAACAGTTGCTCCTGATATTGAAACTAAAATTTCATTGAGATGTTTTTAGAAGTCAAGGCAAACCTTATGGGTTAGGGTGAAGATGAGCAGATGAACATGAGTACGTGCAGCACGTTTCAAGGTCAGTCATATGGATAGAGTAGGCTAGTTGCTGAGTAATAATGTGGGGAACACTGCCACCTGCCTGTAAACAATGGAAAACAGGATTACATCATTAATAATATGGGGGAAAGCCTAAATTTACAGATGTAATCCCTAAATCAAATTCTATAGTTCTTATTACTTGATAAAACTAATGAGAAATGTAGAAGATTGAGATAATGAAAGATTGCGCAATGGAAATTACCAACAAGTCCAACATTCTGAGCCATCAAAAGGTCAATTTTAGGTAAACAGTTTTAGGTTTAGTCGACATCTCCTGGTTTAACCAGAAACTGCACTCTTAGATTGAGAAAGTCTGTGGATTACAAGTATTAGTGTGTCGTTTACAGGACACTGTGTGCTGCCTATATGTAAAAGATAAATATGCATAAAAAATATAGAATGCAAAGCTACATGTTTCACACAGTGATTTTGCAGTTTAATTAAGTTCAGCAATCACTCAGCAGTGTAAATGCTATATTAAGGGTCCACCCGACATAGTTTTACAAATTCATATGGGAAAGAACAACCATTTATGAAATTTACTCCAGCATAGTACAATAAAGTTCATTTTAAGTCAGTGAAACTGTATTAAAATGTCATTGAACACATCTGTGTGCGATGGAATAGGGATTGGCATTTGTGTTTGAAAGTTTTTGACTTCCACGGAAAAAAATGGAAGATAAAGTGGTCCTTGAGCTGGAAAAAGTTCAGAAGACTCACTTTACTAAAAACTAAAAGGGCTTACTAATTGAAAACAATAAACGCATTTGATGACACGTTGTGTCACTTAGTGTTGTGGCTGGTAAATATAAATGATAAACCCTACTACCGCATGTAAGCTCCGAGAGTGGTCCTGGCTTTATTGTGTCCTGTCCTTCAACCTATTATGATACATTATTACATTATTATGTAATAATACATTTTTATGATCTTTTTATGATCTTACATTATTATGATCTATGCCTTTCCAGCAAATCAGTGGCGCCTATTCTGTAAACGTCACAGTGCGTCATTAATATTCATCATGATTACGCAACTCGGGGTCTCCATTTACGAAACGCGTCTCGCCTCTGCTTTGCCGTAGCTTTGAGCTTTCCTCTCCTGAGGCTGAGCATGAGCAGCACGTGTAGATGAGCACTGTGTGTTTGAGTGTGTTGTGAAGACGTTTATAATCGTTTTACAACACCGGTTATTGTTCTGCAGAGATTGTTGACGATCTGTCTCATCAAGCCAGTCAACTTATTAGACAACAAGTGTCCCAACAACGCATCTTCAAATCATCTGGTGAGTTATTCGTGTCTTAGCTTGCTGTGGAAAGCGGAGGTTGTGGATCAACAACACAGTATACAAACTCTATAATACAATCATGCGAACCTGTTATTTATTTAATTAGAACAGCTGGGGTTGTTTCCTTTGTGTAACAAACTCGTCCTATTGTTAGCACACGGTACATGCAACTTATGTATGAATTATGATGATGGCTGACTTTAAATTGCCTAACGTTAGTTACCAATTATATATATATATGAGATTTGAGAAGCGAAAGTCCTATAATTTACCATGGTATTCAGAGTTATTAACACACTTACTGCTGTTTTTAATGTGCTAATCTCTACTATCAAACAATGAATCTATAAAACAACAAGATCGAAAGATTCAGAAAAAATATTAATTTACAATAATTAAAGAATATGATCCAAATCTTCTTCCTCATGTCCACATCATCATGTAAATGATCAGCTGTGTGTGTTGCAGTGACTCATGCAATATATGTATTTGTGGATCTGCAAAGTTGTAAATGTTTGATGATTAGTGAAACGATGTTCTCTCTTTGATATCTAATCAAAGTGTTTCACAATTAAGCGTGTTTGTTTCTTCAGAGAACTGATCAATATTGTTGGTGTCATCGTCACTGTGGAGTGGATTTTGGCTTTGTAAGACCAGATTAAACTTAGAAATTGATCTTCATTAAATGATTGAACAACTTTAAATTCTGATTTATTTGTTTTGTTTTTTTTCTCTCCTGTCAGATTAATCATATCTTTTCATTTATCCAGCACATGATTAGCAGTATGAAGTATATTCTGGTGACGGGCGGTGTGATCTCCGGCATCGGGAAAGGCATTATCGCCAGCAGTGTGGGCACCATCCTCAAGTCCTGCGGCCTGCAGGTCACAGCCATCAAGATTGACCCGTATATCAACATCGATGCAGGAACCTTCTCTCCATATGAGCACGGTAATCTCACACAGCTCTTCATAAACACTCCTTCCACCTCTGAGACCTCTTTTTACACACATGGAGACTCTACGGTGGAGAGTAGCTGATCGCTTGTACACCTTTTTCAGGAATTATCATGAGATGTGACTAGGGATGGGCAACGATTAATCGCATCCAAAATAAAAGTTTGTGTTTACATAATACATGTGGGTGTAGTGTGTATAATTAATTTGAATATATAAATACACACACATGCATGTATATATTTAAGAAAATGTGTTATTCATATATAAAATATTTATATTTATATAATATAGATTATGTATTTATATATACAGAATTTAAGCGCAAATTTTATAGGTATTTATATATACAAAATAATTATATACAGCACACACAAATATATTATGTAAACACAGACTTTTATTTTGGATGCGATTAATAAATAAATAGGGCTGTGCAAAAATACATTTTTGCACAGCCCTAGTATAAATATATATAAAGTATATACATGCAAATATTTCTTAAATATATACATGCATGTGTGGGTATTTATATATACAAATTAATTATACACACTACATACACATATTTTATGTAAACACAAACTTTTATTTTGGAAGCGATTAATCATTGTCCATCACTAGATGTGCCTATTATAAAGCATCTTTATTATTTATATGGACGATAACCATAGAACGCATTGGTCTGTATATAAACATGTGTTTTTTGGTGTTTTTTGTAGGTGAGGTGTTTGTTTTGGATGATGGCGGAGAGGTTGATTTGGATCTTGGGAACTATGAACGTTTTCTGGACATCAGGCTTACCAAAGACAACAACCTGACCACAGGGAAGATCTACCAATCCGTCATCAACAAAGAGCGCAGAGGAGATTACCTGGGCAAAACTGTACAGGGTGAGGAGAAGCGCTGTTATATTATTAATATGTGTAAATATCTTACACCTTCATCATGATTATAAGTTTGCATGTGCATTCGCAGCCTTTTGTTTTCTGCAAATGTTGTAATAGTTTATTTTGTGTACGCCTGTCTATATCAGATTGGTCTCATATTGGATGCATTTGGTTAAGAATTGACGTAATCTTTAGCGATGCACTACTAATAATGACTATTGGGACTTTCATATTACACTAGATTATAAAGAGAAAAATATTGTAATAAAACATTGTGAATTATTTGGGTTTCGATGCCAAGAGCGCATCCACCACAACATGAGTCATTCTGAATGGCACGTAACTTAAAGTTCACTTGTGCAACTGATTAAAATAAAATAGGATGCATTTCTTTGCGTTAAATAAAAAGTGTAGTTTTATAAACTTTTAGAAACTGTTAAATGATTTTCTGTGGCAATATGTTGCATACTGTCTGTAGAATAAACATACTGTGTTTGTCAATGTTTCATTGTATAATGGTTTGTTCCAGTGGTGCCACACATAACTGATGCTATTCAGGAGTGGGTGATGCGTCAAGCTAAAGTTCCTGTTGATGTTGATGATTTTGAGCCCCAGGTTTGCGTTATTGAGGTGAGTAAATATTTTAGTACTGTCACGATTCCTAGACTCTGTTCGCAGTAAATGCTGCTATTACGATTTCAAAATAAAAGTTTAAACCCTTGCTCTGAATTTGCATGTTTTGATACCCACATATTCTTCTTAATAGAAAATATGAAGTGTTCATCGGTCAAGAACAGTTGCTGTAGCATTTCTATCGTGAAGTGGTGGCTAAATATTAAGCAAATATTTAAAAAAAAAGATTTAATCTGCGTGTAACAACAGCAGGCCTTTGGTGCCCTCTGCTGGAATTTCATTATAATACATAATGTACAAAATGTTTATATTTAGGGCCCGAGCACTAACAGTGCGAGGACCCTATTGAAACTGTTAGGGTTATTTTTTTTTTTCTTTTTTCTGCAAAGTAAGCGCCATTTTCAGGGCCGCAACATGCTCAAAAACTCACCAAATTTGGCACGCATGTCAGGACTGGTGAAAAATTTCGTATTTTGTGGGTTTCGCGGATGGGCGTGGCAAAATGGCACGCTAGCGCCACCTAGAAAATTGGAAAAAATTAGCCCCTCGTCCACGTGCAACCTACATGCACGAAATTTGGTGGGGACGTGTATCATATCAAGACGCACAAAAAAGCCTCAAGAATCCATACCATAAACTCGACAGGAAGTCCGCCATTTTGAATTTGGCGGCCATTTTTGGACGATTTACACACTCCGTACTTTAACGAACTCCTCCTAGGGATTTAGTCGGATCGACTTCAAATTTCTGCTGTACCTTCTAAAGGCATTGACGATGTAAAGTTGTGCTATCTGTGCATTTTCGTCGATGGGCGTGTCCGTGGCGTCGATGATTCGCCATGAAACAGGAAGTTGCAGTAACTTGGCTGTAAATGCCCAGATCTGCACCAAATTTTACACATTTGACAAGAGTCCCACCCTGAACAAATCTACATGCTGACATTCACCCACAGTCATAGCGCCACCTGCTGGCAACAGGAAGTGACCTTAAACGAAGCAGCCCACGCCGCTTGTTTGACCAACATGTACGAAACTTCTGTGGTACATCTACTATGACCAGACGCACAAAAAAGCCTCTTGGAGCGATGCCCTAAACTTGACAGGAAGTCCGCCATTTTGAATTTGGAGGCCATTTTGGGACTATTTACACACTCCGTACTTTAACGAACTCCTCTTAGGGATTTAGTCGGATCAACTTCAAATTTCTGCTGTACCTTCTAAAGGCATTGACGATGTAAAGTTGTGCTATCTGTGCATTTTCGTCGATGGGCGTGTCCGTGGCGTCGATGATTCGCCATGAAAGAGGAAGTTGTAGTAACTTGGCTGTAAATGCCCAGATCTGCACGAAATTTAACACATTTGACAAGAGTCCCGCCCTGAACAAATCTACATGCCGACATTCACCCACAGTCATAGCGCCACCTGCTGGCAACAGGAAGTGACCTTTAATGAAGCGTAGCAAATTCACAGCCGCACCGGCTGAGCTCCAGAATTTGCAATGCGGCCGCCTCACACCCCGACGCGCTACAGGTGCGAGGGCCCGCCCATCGCTGCTTGCAGCTTTAATTATGTATTTTAACCTTTAAGTCTTGTTCTAACAAACCCATGTGATAACTTGCATATGATGCTTCATTTGAACCAAATATTATTGCCTATATTCGTTTTTATTTTTTTTAGCTTTTACCAAAATACTATTGGGCAAAATAATCATTAGTAACCGGTTTGTGTGTTTTTGCAGTTGGGGGGTACGGTCGGAGACATCGAGAGCATGCCTTTCATCGAGGCCTTCAGACAGTTCCAGTTTAAAGTCAAGAGAGAGAATTTCTGTAATATTCACGTCAGTCTCGTGCCACAGGTGAGGAGTTGTGCATTATAGGCCGTAACACATTAAATGTCCGCGTGTCCTAGAAATGTGAATGACCCAGAGTCTGGATGGTTGTGTCCAGCCGAGCGCCACAGGAGAGCAGAAGACCAAACCCACCCAGAACAGCGTGAGAGAGCTCAGAGGACTCGGACTGTCACCTGACCTGGTGAGTCGAGTCTCGTAGAGCTTGAAATCTACGATGAGTGCATTAGAGCGATCTTCTCGGAGAGTTCTGGGTCTTTTCTTTTTGCCGTTGCAGATAATGTGCCGATGCTCCACTCCACTCGACAACTCTGTTAAAGAGAAGATCTCCATGTTCTGTCACGTGGAACCTGAACAGGTTAGTCTGGATCACATAACGCTTTAAGCCAAGTTCACACTACAGGATTTTAAGCCCTCAACCTCAGTGATGTCATGAGCTACAGCCAATCAGAGCAAGGCATGGGTTGAGGTCACCGGGTAAATCTTATTTTTTTTTGCTTTTTTTTTTTTTTTCTCAGAGCAAATCAATAGTGTGCAGCACTAGTTTATGTCTGACGTCCATATTCACGTGTTGTGTTCTTCGTCTTCTGTTTCCCGTCATTTCTGGTTTCTTATCGCGTGATTTTTCGTGACAAAACGAGGTTTGTAGACAAGACGGAGTCGTTGGGTGACATGGTTGTTGTCAACGGGTGTAGTGCGTTACCTCCTGTTGCGGATCAGTCACGTCGTGTCGTGTGTGTGTGAACAGCTCAACGACTTGAACACACTCCTGATTTCACTGAGAGCAAGTCATGTAGTGTGAACAAGGCATTAACGTATTTTTTTTCTTTTGTCATTTATATTATATTCTATTATTTTTCTCTCTACTAGTATTTTTAACTTTAACAAAAAGCCCTTATTGTATTGCATTGCTCATGTATTTTATTGCATGTATTGCATTTTACTAAAAAAGCCCTTCTAGGGACTAATGTTGTAAATTAGCTTTGGCTAAAAACATTGATACATACATCAGATCACTGTCAAAGTGTATCTATGTTATCTGTATCTAAATAAACCCAATAATCTCAGTTGTTGTTCTCTGTAGGTGATCTGCGTACATGATGTGTCATCCATCTATAGAGTGCCGCTGCTCTTAGAAAACCAGGGTGTTGTGGGTTACTTTTGCCGCAGACTAGACCTGCCCATCGAAACCAGACCCAGGAAGATGCTTGCCCAGTGGAAAGAGATGTCCGACAGGTTACAACACATTTACATTCACTGACAACTGATTCAGGATCACTTTATAAATTGAAATTGAGCGATAATGGATCATTAGCGAAGATGATCTCTTTCATATCATGATGAAGGCAAAAAAGACCAACAAAGGCTTATTTAACCCTCCGGGTTGTTCGGCCCAAATGGACCCGAAGAATTTAAATAATTCACAGCTTCCTCGGATTGGTCTGAATTTTGGTGACTTTGTTGGTATTTGGTATTTGAACACCCCAAAAAATTGGGGACAAGATGTGAATAGTCTAAGTGGTTGTAAAAAACATAGTCACACTTGGGGTGAGTTGAACGGGAAAATGGCAAAAATGTGAGCTTTTTTGTGCGTACAATCTACAAATCAGCAACGATCTTGAAAAAAAGACTATAAAACATCAAGAGTTCAATACAGACACACACACAAACACACTTTTATACACAAACACACCAAAAAATTCAGATTATACATGTGTTTTGCATTTTTAAAATGCTCAGTTTGTCCACCAGATGGCATCCATCTCATTTCAAAAATTGCTTTTATGAGGCCTAGGCTTGACTCTAAAATGAAATACAGCTTTAAAAAAATTTAAAAAAAAATATTTTTTTATTTTCAATATTTTTTCTATGTTCAATGGGGGGAAATTTTGTCATAATTATTGCATTAATACTAATTATATATATATTTTATTTTTGAAATTTTCTCAACACCAAAAAAGAAAAGAAAAAATATTACAAAAAAAACGAGTAAAAAAAAAAATCATGATTTTTTTTTTTCTTTTTTAATATGAATCCCGCCCTTTGGGTCCATTTGGACCCGAACACCCCGAGTGTGACTCTGAAACGAACGTTAAATGTTTGTGTTGTGTTTGTATGGTAGGTCGGACAGGTTATTAGAGCAGTGCTCCATTGCTCTGGTGGGGAAGTACACCAAGTTCTCTGACTCGTACGCCTCGGTGATCAAAGCCCTGGAGCACTCCGCTCTCGCCATCAGCCACAAACTAGAGGTTAAGGTGGGTGAAAACTTGACTACATTGGTAACCTCTAATTCTGCCTTTTAAAAGAAAATGAAGAGTTCAGATGCAAAAGCCTCTAAATGCCATTTGAAATGTTCTTCTTTAATGATGATTTTTATCAAGCTTGTATATTTAAGTTCAGTAATTTCACTTAAATAACAATTAATAGGTAATTATCATTGCCATTTAAGTGAAATCACTGAACTTAAATATACAAGCTTGATAAAAATCATCATTAAAGAAGAAAATTTCAAATGGCATTTAGAGGCTTTTGCATCTGAACTCTTCAAATATTATCTTTAAATTCTGAATATACAATTGAATCAGTAAATATGTCTCTTCTTGCTTCTTTCTCTAGTATGTTGACTCTGCAGATCTGGAGCCCAGTACACTACAGGAAGAGCCTGTGAAGTACCATGAGGCTTGGCAGAAACTCTGCAGTGCTGAGTGAGTAATGATGAACGCAGTTAAAGAACTGTGATCCTGATGTAGTTTTGTTAATATTACTGTCTCTCATGCCCTCAGTGGTATTTTAGTTCCGGGAGGTTTCGGAGTACGAGGGACCGAGGGCAAGATTCAAGCCATCAACTGGGCCAGGAAACAGAAGAAGCCTTTTCTAGGTAGGACTTGGTTAAAAATAATCAATGTCCTAGAGCGGCTGTGAATGTAACCCATGTGAACCATTGATCTTTCAGGTGTGTGTTTGGGGATGCAGCTGGCTGTGTGTGAATTTGCTAGGAACATGTTGGATTGGACAGGTCAGTTCTCCCTTCACAAAAGAATCGATCCGTTTACTAAGCCATGTTGAATAATGCGAGACTCTTCTGTTTGACCTAGATGCCAACTCCACGGAATTTGACCCGGAAACAAAACATCCTGTTGTGAGTAAAAGTGGATTTCTGGTTCGTTTTGGATCAGAAACGACAGAGCAGATATAACCGTAACGTTTTAAATGGGTCATCTCGCAGGTTATTGACATGCCGGAGCACAATCCTGGGCAAATGGGTGGAACGATGCGGTTGGGGAAACGGCGAACTATTTTTAAAAGCAAAAACAGCATACTTAGTAAGTGCATTTCACCAACTGTAATGCCATATTGAGGATTTAATAGAGAACTAGTTTAAATGCATGATTTCTCCCTCACAGGAAAACTTTACGGAGACGTAGATTATGTAGAGGAAAGACACAGACATCGCTTTGAGGTGCGTAATCTCTACTTTAAGAAAACAACAACAACACTGTAATAGCGAATAATGGAAAAGCGTCATTATTGTATGGAAACATACCCAATAATGGTAAAAATGATTTGTAATATCCAGTGTTATTGCTTCGGTCTGAGCAGGTGAACCCAGAGCTCAAGCAGCATTTTGAGGACAAGGGCTTCCATTTTGTGGGTCAGGATGTGGAGGGAGAGCGAATGGAGGTCATCGAGCTGGACGGTATGTAGACAAACTCTCAAATATACCAAGTTTTGAATTTTCAGGTTTGGTGTTTTAAAATGGCTGTGTGGATTTAAAACGAATCAGGACCGTCATTTTCTTTTTTGGTCGACTAAAAGCAGTGGTGGAGGAAGTACTGAATCTCAGTACAAATAACCTGATAAATATTTACTTTAGTAAAAGTAGAACTAACACAATGACGACCATACTTAAGTAAAAACAAAAAAAAAATTACTTTAAGTATTAAAAGTACTTGCATAACAATTGATTCTCTTAATGATTATTTTCTAATGATTAATAAAACACTTAATTCTAACTCATTCAACCTAATACTCCTATAATGATGTTCAATAATGATGGAAAAAAATTGTTGTCACCATTTCTGAAACAAGCTTGCAATTAGGCAATATAAACCATGCTTATCCTTACTATATGTTAATAACGATGTTTGGCAGTAAACGCGATTAATTTCTGGTGTAATTCTGAACCTCTTGGCTTGCCATAATCCTAACCAAACGTATATTACACACGGTGTGTTTCCTATGCACGTAAAAACTAATTTTCGCGTATAAATTGCACGATAAACACACTGCGTGCGAGACGCATTTAATTGATGTATCCATGGCAACCAAACGTCACTGGAGAGACAAACGTGCAACGAACGGACGGTCAGATTACGGTTTGGCAGCGAAAAACTGATCAGAAAATGTAATGAAAATGTAACAGAAGTTGTAGAAATGTAGTGGAGTAGAAAGTAGAATAATTGCTGCAAAATGTAACGAAGTTAAATTAAAAAGTATGCACTATTTATTCTACTTAAGTAAAGATATGTGAAAAATGTACTTAAGTAAAGTAACAAAGTATTTGTACTTCGTTACATTCCACCACCGACTAAAAGAACAATTAGAACTTAAATGAAATTATGAACAACCTTAACATTATCTGCTTTTCCACTGTCGGGCCAGGGCTTTCAACGCCTCGGACCCGAAACAAAACTGGGTTTTCACAGTCCAATTTGTTGTTTAAGGATTTATAACCAAAACTAGCGATGTATTAATACAGGTTTACAATAAAAAGTATTACATTGATCATAATGAATTAATTTGTGTTAAGCACAGCAATACAGTGGTTTACCATTATTTCACAAAAGAAAGAAGACACTTATTCAGTCGCGTCTGTTTGCTTAGTTATTTTACATCATATTTAGAAGGAATATGCCACAAAAATATGACCTGGAGACGAGAGCTTGTATTTTCAGTCAGAGAAACAGAGGAAGCTCCCATAACACCGAATTGCTTGTTTTATAGATATCATACAGTCTGGTGTAGAGACCAGACCCTCTTTTTTTGTCCACAGATTTGATCAATTTGACACTACAATTTCTGTTTCAGATCACCCATATTTTGTTGGTGTCCAGTATCATCCAGAATTCACATCCAGACCGATAAAACCATCTCCACCATACTTTGGCCTTCTGTTGGCCGCTGCGGGGAGGCTTCCAGGTTATCTCCAGAAAGGCTGTCGGTTGTCGCCACGGTATGACGTTCCCTAAACACCTATATTTCTCCCAATGTCATCCCAAAAATTGTCAATTAAAAGCTGGGTTCTGTCTCTGGAAAAGATACCACATACAAACCATCCTGAAGCTGTAGATCATGATCTATTAGAACAGCTGATGGGACTTCAGAGTCAGGGCTGGATTAACCCTTAGGACATCGTCAAATATTATGTTAGATTACGTTATAAACGTAGTCCTCACTTTCCCAATTATATGCTGATTTTTGCAACCTGTTTGATCAAAATGTTGTTAAATGTTTGAGTCTTGTTGCGCAGGGAATTGTTAATCCGGCAGTGGCTGTTTGCGTTTACAAGCTTAGCATGATATTAAATACTAGTTATTTCTGTTCACAGAGACACGTACAGTGACCGAAGCGACAGCAGTTCTCCAGACTCAGAGGTTGCAGATTTTAAACTATGTTCAATTGCTCAGGAATGATGCGTGATATTATCTGTAAACGGCATGATTGTCAGACAAACTTAAGTTTTAGTTTTCAGAGAATGTGCTGATATGTGGTTTTAAATTGTCCAGTTTTAACGGTCAATGTGATGAACTCTTGAGGATACATGATCAGCAGTTTTGTTTAAGCTGTCCTTTTTTCCTTGTTTGTACGTGTAATCATGCCAATTAAATTTGTGGACTTGCTTTGGGCAGCTGTTATTAGATAAACATTTTCAGTTCATCATACTGTGGTTACTTTATATTTAGTTTATATATATAAATTAAATTAAAGACCGTTAAAATATGTAGAGGTAAGAGACGCGGTTCTAAATTGTCACGTCTCAATAACAGGATGTGTAACTTGTTTTGCTAGTGTAAATAAAGCCATGCATTGATTTCAGTGTTACTTTGGGGCATTAAAAGTGTTTAAATGGATTTTGCAAAAGCTAACGCCTTAAATTGCATTAAATTTGAGTCTTACAGGCATTGAACATTTTTTATAATTTTATATCTAACTACAGGTGTATATATATTTGAATATATCCTTTCTAATTAGTCATTTTTATGAGTTGTCACAAATTATGTATGTTAAGGCAAAATAAGACACCAGGTGACAAATCTTTAGGTTTTAGCTCGAAGAACTAGAACAATTTAAAAAATAAAATATGAAAGTAAGCATAATTTACGTAGAAAATATGGTACTTTTTGAAGTAGATAAATGCAAAAACACCCCCAAAATAAAAGGATAGAAAATAACATTTATAATAGATAAAAAATTAGGTCCTCTGTGCCCAGGATTAACGACTGGAATTAAATTTCATTTGAAGATACTTGCAGAACCTCAGATTTCTCCTTCAAGGCTAACATTTAATAATTTGACTAGGAGTAACTGACTTCTAGCCAAAAATAACCTTGAATTTAGTAACATGTTTAGCCAAAATAACTTGGTGTAGTCAAATGTGATAATGGCAATTAAGCAAACCACCTTAAAATCTAATTGATTAATTTATACTTGAGCTTTGCTGCCCTACAAAGGCTAAATATTATAATACTTATCCACATGATAAAGGAAGTCTTAATAAACACATATATAACATTTGACCAAACAAGAAATTACTAACTAGTAAAATCAGGAAATTTATATTTAAGTGAACTAGACCTTTAAATTCACTTGCAGCCCAAATTGCCTTTTAGCCTAGATGTTACAACTGTGTTTGGATGGCCATTTCTTTAGAAAATTGCTTGCTGGGTTGGTACTCACTGAGAAACAGATTTTACAAGAGCCAAAATTGTCCAATATAGCACTAAGTGCTTTAAGTTTATTTTTTAATAGTTCAAGTCACAAGTGTAGAAGCCAAATACAATATACATCCAGATTAGGTTGGACTTGCACCACCCATGTAAAAACTTGGAACGTCCACCTGCACCTAAAGAGAAACAAGCAAAACAATTAGCTATAACGGACACCAAAGAGACAGTTCACACAAACCACTGATCTCAGACCCATTTCCGTAGTTTCATCCAACAGTCACCATCAAAAAGTGATCATCATTGATCAGGAATCAATTACACCAAAAGCCAATAGCAACATACCCGCACTCAAGGTTAGGTTGGACCTGCACCCCTCGAGCTTCCTCCGACTACTCAAAAGCTGAGCACCTAAAGAAAAACATGCAAAACAATTAGCTAAAACGGACACCAAAGAGACAGTTTTCACAATCACTGATCTCAGACCCATATCCGCAAGTTTCATCCAACAGTCACCATTGAAAAAGGGGTTCATCATTGATCAGGAATCACACCATCAAAAGCCAATAGCAACATACCTGCACTTGCGTCACCGTTACCACAGGTAATCAGCACCTTCGAGGGAAAACAAAAAGCACCATTAACACACGCCACAAATCAAAATTACATTATCTAATGCTTAATGTCGGACAGTAGAGTGACCTACGCAGACACAAGCAGACAGGTGGTCAAAGTCTCCCCATTAATTTAGCACGTAATTGGACAATCTGGTGCACAAAGAGCACAGATTATCAGAAAACGTGCAGAAAGACATCAAGGATAATTAACTTACCAGCACATGGAGCCATAAAGGGCATCTTCTCAGTGGCAGCACCGCACCTTCTGGTTAAGAAAGACAATGTTAAGGCCAAACGAGGACAAGATTATAACACGGAGCAATGAGAACAGTTAAAGCTGGCTCAGAACGTTTATATATTCTCATAATAGAGCTGTTCTCTCAGAGAGGGCAAGTTTGTCATCATAGCCAACAATCCAAAAGCCTTAGACACCAACCTTTCACAGAAGCTCACTTAGCCCATCTCAAGGAGCATTGTGATGGCAGGATACTTCATCCATCCTTGAAGAGTCTTTTGCACCACCTAACCTGCATGAAAGGTAAAAGCAAAAAATTAACCATGTTATTTTGGTAACTTGCATAACCACAGATCTACTACAGATCGTTTTTTTTTTAGTCAAACAACGTTTGATTTTCGTATGGATTGTCCTTTTCCTTAATGTTGCTGGGTCAGCTACAGGTCAACTGCTCAGCGACCGTCGGTAAAAGTGTTGCTATCGGCTCCTGTTTGACCGCGCCTGCTATAGTTGAACAGGAACGGCTTCGATCAGGGCCGTGAATAACGATTTCCACAACACGATCATTTAATACGCATGAGCTAACGACAATTTTCAGCTACAAGAATAGTTTAATTAACGTAAAGTTAGTATTCGCCAAACGCTAAAAAAACCTCTGTACTAAACTAGTGTTACCTCAGCAGTGATTACGGCAGAACCTCGTGGTGAACCGAAACGGAACTTAACGGCCACCTGGCAAAAAAAACAATACGTCAGTGAGTAAAACCTGCACGAACTTTACAAGAAACACATAAATCAAAATATGGAGCGATCTAGAAATATTAACGTGTAACTGGTAAGTTGCAGTCGTGAAACTGAGGTAAGTTACAAATATCTCATTCGCCTAAAATGGCGCCGATTTGCAAGTTAGAAGGTAACGTTTGAATGAGCCACAAAACTAAAATGTTTCTTTCAAAACGTCATAAGTCATTTTAATAATAGGAAATTTTAAATCTTACGTTACTTAAGACAAAACCTAATCCCGTTGTCGCGCACGGTTAACTTATACAGCCCGATAACCTAGGTTACTTTTATAATTAAACCATTCTTCGATCAACATACAATGAAAATATTGGTCTAACAACCAAACGAATTATCCTTGAAAAGTACTAATGAAACACACGACACACTTTTCGCTGTTTCAGAACTGAAAGCAAAACTCACCTCAACTCATTCTTTGAGAAAGCGGTTCGAAAGAGGAAGGAGTGACTGTGACTTGAGACTTTATACAGCGAAACCTAACCTGATTGGTTGTAAGACTCATCGTTGATTGGTTGAATGAGGTGGCTTGGTCGCAAAGCTTGATGGGATATGTATTTCTGATTGTTATGTACTTCTGATTATTTAAAATGTAGCTATTACTGATTGTTTAAAACACTGAATGTTTTAATTGCAAAACATATTATTAATACTGAAAAATGTATGTAAAAGTAACCAAAAAAGAAATGATTATGTTTTTGTTTTTGTTAAAATCGTGTTCAAAGACATTACTTTTGCACAACGACTTGATATTATGATCTTAGCTAAAAAAAATAAAATAAATAAAAACAATAAAATGAAAAAAAAAATGTGCCATAGGCTACTGGAATTCATATAGCGGGAGAGTTCTGTGCTTCAGGATTAATGAGATACCGATCAGATGATTATTGCCTCATTAAACGCTTTATCTATTTTTTTATTATTTTTTTTTATAATAGGCTATTTACAAGCATGTTTTGGGTGCTGGGCTTGTTGAATTGTTTGATGAATCCCCCGGCGGCCCCAGTGTCACTTCTACTTCAGCACCATGGACAGATCCCGAGGCCTCGAAACTAATGGCTTGGACCGAGACAAGATCACGGGGCCCGTATACTCTTCTATAAACATAAAATACAAGTTACATCTGAATTTCCTAAATAAAATAATGTTTTACTTAAAATTAATCGTAGCCTATCCTTGCTATTTCGCTGGGATTTGGGATAAAATGTTTACTCCGAGTATTATTAAATGCACATTCAATTAAATATTGGCACTTTATTCATATTGCTATTTTATAGGCTACAAGCAAAACACAAGGTCAGGATACAGGGACTTTACCCCCTATAGCTACAGCTAGACAGGCCCTGCTTCTATAATAGCAACGTAACAAATTTATGTTCTGGGAACAAATTTATGTTCTGGGAACGTTCTGGGAACGTTAGTTTTTGGTTCCCAGAACGTTCCTAGAACTTTCCCTTAAGGTTAAGGGAACGTTCCCGGAACATTCTCATTACGTTATAAAAATGGAACCTAAAAATAACCTACATGGAACGTTCCTATAACGTTCTTGTTTGGTTCCCAAAAAATAACCTCATCATCAGACCATTCGGGAACGTTAGGGGAACGTTCTGTGTTTGCTGGGATGCTAATAATGTGTTAGGAAATGCTTATGTCGCAAAATAGGTTCCACTTCCTCCAGTCCTCAAATGAAAGTAATTTGCTGGTCTAGTAATTTGCTGTAGTTACACATTAGTTGGAAGTGAGATGTGAGAATGAGTGCATGATCACATGACTGCAGCAGCACATCATCCACCTCACCGCCCCCGCCGGCCGCTCGAGCTCCACTCACTCGATGTAAACACCGTCAGCGCTCCTGCTTTGTCTTTGAGCCTGTGGCTGGAGCTTTCGACTCACTATGCCATGGATATTTTATGGCAATACCAGTTCAGGATCATTTTGCTGGGGGACTCGACGGTGGGCAAATCATCTTTGCTGAAGAGGTTCACGGATGGCATATACAGCGATGTGGCGGACCCCACGGTCGGTGTGGATTTCTACGCCCGTTCAATAGACATCGAACCCGGGGTTAAAATCAAACTACAGCTGTGGGACACCGCCGGACAAGAAAGATTCAGGTTAGTGCTCTATTCATAATAATAATAAGTATTATTATTTATTAGCCTATAGTTGGCTAATTATTATTATTATTATTATGTTCTGTCTGCTGGCTATGTCTCCATGATATGGATTGATGTGAAGCCTACATGATTATGATTTTATCACACAGAAAGACGGCAAATATCCATGCATGCTTGTGCGATGTCATTGGTTGTGTAATCTTGCAGGGTGATGTTCTAGGTTAGCCCTTTGTATCATAGACTATGATTCTACTTGTATGTGTATTATATAATTTACCTGCTGGGTTCACATTCACAGGCCTGCCAATGAATGAGTTAAACTGGCTCATCGCATTGATTTGTTCCAGTGTCACTCACATGATGCCTCACCTGTTTGTATTCAGTAATGAGTGTTTGGTTGAGGACTGTCACTGGGCTCAGATCCTGATGTCTCTGATCAGCTTGCCCTATTTTTGAGGCAGGGAAACACAAACATCAACCCTCAATGCTTTAAAGGGCCATTCATGAGATGTAAAAATCAACCAAAGCCTTTCTTGTTTTTAGATGTGTTCAGAATGATCACACTTGATTTTTCCACATATAATAAAACACTACGTGCACAACATGGGCACTTAGGTTATCTGCTCAACACCCTTGCATGTATATGATCTATTAGCATTAAATGTATATTTGCAATAATTTTAGTATGGATTATTGACCAGACACCTAGAAACATGCAAATGCAGATGAAAAAAATGGATATAGAAAGTCACACTGCTTGAATGCATTGCAGTGCTTTTGCCACACAGTGAAATGTGGAACAGACAAATTAAATCATGTCAAAGAAATAAGGAATGCATATATTTCTATAGCATCAGTGGTCTGTGAACACCCTTTTGCAGTTTTAATGCTGTCCTGATATGATCTTATGTTTGTGTAATAGATTATTCCAATATGAGTTTCTTCTCTTCTCATGAATACAACTTTGGTGTAGCTTATAAATTACTTGATTTTTCATATTTAATTTTCTGTTATTTGTAGGCTACACTAGGTATATCTTGCAAAATCCATATCCATATCGATGTCATTACACACTGTGATAGTTAGCTAAGTCAAAGTACACAATTAATAAACAATTGAAACCTCAATGGTTTATGGTTTCAGATGTAAATTGCAAGGTAAGAAATTGGGTATTAAAATAATTGGAATAGGTTCTACAACAACTATATAAAAAAAAAACATTTGTTTACCATTTCTAACACAATCTCACTGCAATTCGTAACTATTTCTGGTGGGTATATTATATGTGTGTGTGTTGGCTAATTCGTTTGCATTTTTATGATCACAATTATGTTTTTTTCCCCACTGATAGTTAGATGTTAGTTAGATGTATGGATGGAGCTTTGTGCTTATTTTTTCAGATTGAGCTTAAAGGAGTAGTTCACTTTTAAAAAATCTTTTGCTGATAATTTACTCACCCGCATGTCATCCAAGATGTCCACGTCTTTCTTTCTTCAGTCGAAAGAAAATTAAGGTTTTTGATGAAAACATTCCAGGATTTTCTCCATATAATGGACTTCAATGGGGTCCAAACGGTTCAAGGTCCAAAAGACCGTATTCAAAACTATTCAAAAGGGCTTTAAACGACACCAGACGATGAATAAGGGCCTTATCAAGCGAAACGATCACTCATTTAATAAATAAATAACAAAGTTTAAGTTTTATAAGCACAAATGCTCGCCTTGCTCTGTTCTGTGATGCGCGTTCGTGACTCTCCTGTTCATCAAAATGAACAAATCTTTTTTCGACTCATGACTCGATGGATCCTTAATAAGACCCTTATTCATCATCTGGAATCGTTTAAAGCCCTTTGAATAGTTTGCAGTTTGCACTGAAACTCTCATTCGGACCTTGAACCGTTTGGACCCCATTGAAGTCCATTATATGGAGAAAATCCTGCAATGTCTCAATTTCTTTTCGACTGAAGAAAGAAAGACGTGGACATCTCGGATGACATGGGGGTGAGTAAATTATCAGCAAACGTTTTTTTTTTTTTTTTTTTAAAGTGAATTACTCCTTTAACTTAAATAAGAATTATTCGTTGCATCCATGTAATCATAATCTTCTTTCCCCCCTCAGGTCAATTACTACTTCCTACTATCGCAACTCTGTTGGCGGGCTGCTAGTATTTGACCTGACGAACAGGAAGACCTTCGATCATGTGCGTGAATGGCACCGAGAAGTCAGCGAGCACATCCTGCCTCATCACATGATCTACATCCTGATCGGCCACAAGAGCGACCTGAGCCCCGACCGCAAGGTGACGCGGGACGAGGCGGAGCAGCTGGCGGCCGAACTCGGCATCCGCTACGTGGAGACTTCCGCCAAGTGCAACAGCAACGTGGAACGTGCTTTCGAGCTGCTCACACGGGACATCTATGAGCTGATGAAGATGGGTGAGATTTCCACGCGGGATGGCTGGGATGGGGTCAAGAGCGGCCTCACCGCTAAAGTCCTCTATCCAGCCGAGGAGGAGGCGGAGCGAGAAAAGAGCTGTAACTGCTGACTCCCACAATCCACCTGTAATCGCTCACCTGTGTATCAGTCGGCCGTTGCTTTCACTAATGTGTCACATCGTGGTCACCGCCTCGGGCCGCTGCACTTAACGTTCCCCTAACGTTCCCGAATGGTCCCATGAGGTTATTTTTTTGGGGGGGGAACCAGACAAGAACATTATAGGAACGTTCCATTTAGGTTATTTTTATAACGGAAGAAGAACGTTCCGGGAATGTTCCCCTAACCTTAAGGGAACGTTCCCAGAACCTAAATTAGTTTGCTGGGTTGTTGCCGTCTGGGGTTGATGGCACGATCCATTCGAAGGTGTTGTACTGTATATTTAGGCTTGCATGGACAGGCCCTGCTTCTTATTGTTGAAATTCACCCCTGTTCTGAAGTTTGCAGAAATCTTGTGGATAAACATTTTTACATTCTAGTTTGAGCTGTATGTGTCATTGCACTTCCCCTTCTCTGGAGATATTACACTTTATTTGTTTTGTTTTTTTCCCTTTAACCATTATTACTGTGATATCATTACCATTTAAAAAAAAAAAAACATCTAGTGATTTACAATTTACACTGTCCGTTCACTTACAGATTTAAATACCCCATAAGATGGTTTTCTTTCCTGTGTTGACATTTCTAATTGAAGCAGATATTTGGAGCTGGACTTGTACTAACTAATAGCTTTTAGCTTGTGTTAGTGCTGTGAACCATCGGCAGGTATTAGGAGGAGGACATTGGGCCTGAAAAATATGTCATCAATATTATTTGCTGCCACTTGGACTGAAAGCAACTTGGACTAAAAATTCCCATTCTCGATAGGATATGAGACAGTAGGACAGTTGTTGGCTGGTAGACATCATTTCTGGGTAAAAAGGCGAGACTAAACCTCCTTTCTAACTAATCGCTGGGTTTGCATATGTAATTACACCATTTCTGATTTATTACTTTTTTTAAACCACTTTGTTATAACAACCCAACTTCTGCAGACATTATTATGTGCATCAAACCAAAATATTTCAGCATATTTTAAACATATTTTAAATTTTCACCTGTACATGGATAAATACATATTTTGTCAAATCTGTTGATGTAGAATTCATTCTCCAAAATCATCTTTAACCTCGTGATCTGCCCATCGAGACAGCATTGTAGTGCATCATAGATGAGACAAGACACACTCGAAGACACTTTCTGTATCATCCATAATTAAGTCGAAAGAAATGTTGATTATAAATATATCTCATTCAATGCTAAAATTATCAATCTAATTAAATTGACTGTTTTACCCACAATTGGTGTGTGCTGCTATGTATGTTTGTGCTCATTACTGTCCAATATTCACAAAACAGTTGAGTCGTCATTAAAACATGTATAAACCAATTATTTACTGTGAAACAACCTAAAATATTAGAGAAAGGAAAAAAAATCCAATAGCTGAACTGAATAACATTCAATATGATAAATAAACATCTGTTGTTTGTTAATGAGTTATTGAATTCAGAACTTTTACATTGTACGTTTACGCTTTTTCATTTAGCAGACGCTTTTATTCAAATGAATACAAGAAACCAAACGTAAGGAGGCAAACACGAGAAGTGCTAAAAACTACAAAAATGTAAACACTGATCGGAATATTTTAGCTAAAACAGGGATTTAATAGAAGTTTTTTTTGTTTTTAAGTCGGTGATATTAGTGCTCATGGAAGGCATGAGTTTTCTGCCGTTTCTTGAATATTGTCAGGGATCAGCTGTCCGAGTGTAGGGTTAGGGATATTGTGCAGCCAGATGATCATTGCAGTCCAGTCTAGAAATGACCAGGCCCTGGACAGGAAGTAGTTTGGCTCTATTAGGAAAGCCCTGATCCTCCTGGTGTTGTCCAGTGCAAACCTGCATGATGCTGCTGTCTTTGCAATGAATGTTTGCTGGTCATCAAAGATTGCCAAAAGATTTTTGTCTAAACAGGACGGAATTGTTGTTGATGAGCCTATAGCTGGATAGTGAAATTATGCCGAATCGTATTGCTAGATTGAGTTGAGTTGTTGATGTTCTTTGCTGAAGATCAATGCAGATAATATCAGATCGTCTACCTAAGATGAAAAGTAAAGTTGTGTTTCTTCACATATCAATAGTAGGAGAATCCACATGCCTGTGTAAGAACAGTCTGAACCTTCAGGATACCCCCCGTGACTAGCTTTGTATTCCTCCCCTTCCCATAAACCTTGAAAGACTAATGTGAGGTAAGATTCGAATTAGCAAAGTGCAGTTCCTGTGATGCCTATCGATTAAAAGGACAAAATTATTTTTTTTTAAAAGGCATAAACTTCATACTTTTTGTGTGGAGGGGCTTGTCTCTGCCTTATTCACAATCCTAAAAAGAAGATAATGACATTTTTTTGCACAAATATGACTTACTATCAATAGGAAGTTGTCACATTTATGTTCGATAATGCCACAATGATGTTCATCAAACTGAAAAGAGATTCAAAGTGCATTTGAATACACAAATGACAGCAGATGCTTTTGTTTACATGGTTTTATTTTCCCTCAACTCTCACCTAATATGACAGACTGTACATTTCATTTGGTTGTGTTGTGGAATAGGCTGAAAACATGGAATATTTTGCCTTTTATGTGTCCTGTTTTTAATATATCAACAACATTTAGATATGGTTCTCCATGTTATTATTACTCTCAGAAAAGAAAGGTACAAAAGCTGTCACTGGGGCTGTACCTTTTCAAAAGGTACACTTTTGTACCAAAGGCTGGATATTGATACCTTAGTGGTACATATTAACACCTGAAATGTACATATTACCTGAAATGTACATATAAGCACCTGAAATGTACTTATTAACACCTAAAATGTACTAAATGGACTTATTAGCACCTAAAATGTATTTATTAGCAGCTAAAATGTACTTATTCGCACCTAAAATGTACATATTAACACCTAAAATGTATATATTAGCACCTAAAATGTACATATTAGCACCTAAAATGGACAAAAGTTTACCTTTTGAAAAGGTACAGCCCCAGAGACCACTTTTGTACCTTTTTTCTGATAGTGTATGTTGAGATATTCTGTAAGAAAAATGTCCGATGTGTCATATTAAAAAAATAATAATAATAGAGTTGGGGGACATATTATTCTTGGTGTGAACATCATACAGACTTGCAGATGGGAATAGTCTAAAAGCACCTCTGAAAATCTAGTTTTGTCTACTTATATTGAGATGTAAGTCACCAACACCAGGATCTTATCTCGTGAACTGACTGTATAACACTGATAGTCTCTGAGTACTGAAGACTGTTTGCTATTTAGATCAGGGGTGCAGATATAAGATGTCAGTAAGACTTCAGCGCCTGCTGTAAAGAGGTTTCGCATGCAGCATAGCTGAGCGTCTGAGCTCCATCATGTGCTGACGGGCGGCTTTACTGGGTGTGTTTGGACGTACATTAGCTATGGCTATATTTATTGTAAATAGCAGCAGGGCACAATCTTAAAAGTCAGGTGAGGCTTTGGTGGAGGCTAAAAGGTCTTTGTGTCTGAACAGTAGGTCAGTGTATGGGAAAGTCTTCTTCGTGCCAGCAGAACATCAAAATTGTACGATTAGCCTGAACACACCTTTTGATTTTACAGATCAGGTATGAAATTCTTCTATGTAATAGAAGTTGATCATATCCATTCGGTAGACTTCCCCTCAGAAACCGCAGGAAGAAAATGGGCAGATTCAGTTCCTTTTGAACCCGTGCTGCTGTAGGAAAATCAGTTTTCTGTGCTCATTTTCACTTCTGTGTTGTGCGATGAAAAACATTCTAATAAATGTGAACAAATCAAACTTTTACAGTAAACTTAATCCATTTAAAGTTTTAATTATAATATTGACACATCTTCTCACCCAACATTAGAACTTTTAAATCACTGGGTTTATTTTATGCTTTTGTTTATCACCAAAAAAAAAAAAAAGTTAGTATGCTGAGAATGGGGTTAAGACCAAATTTATCAACAAAACTCACACAAGATAATAGCTAAATACATGTATACTAAATACTAAAAACCTTGTGGAATCACTTTCTGAACATGATATTTCAAATTCTGGTGAGTTGAGTAAATTAGGCTATTTTGAATTAGTAATAGTGTGTATACATTTATAAATATATTTTTAAAATTTGACTCAATGGACTGAAATATGTGACCACACTGCCGTTGTGTTGTGGCCACTGAAGGTTTTGCACAATTTGACAACTAGTTTCTATGGTAACTGCATTCATTAAATATGAACACATGGCATATATAACTGCACATTACTCCTCACATACTATTTCACAGACATTTTATTCACCTATATATGGCCAATAAAGAACAGCTCTATGATTTTAAGAAATTAAGTAGGAGTGAAATGCATAACAATGATGTTAAATAGCTACATGAAATAAGATAATTGTGTATTAGAGAGAGAGAGAATAGGAGATTAGTACAAAAGCAGGATTTTCATTAGACACCCACTATAAATGAACAATATCAGCCATTCACTGTCGATTCTGATCATATAACGTCTGTATGTATGTCTACCTTATCAGTGATGTGGATGACACGAGTAAAACGTATTGCACATTTCAAATGGTAATTCAACTGTAATGAATGCTAAAGCCAATAATAATGATGTACATCAAGCTCTGGGCATTGTAAACTGTCAATATATTTGCATTGTGATTAAGTAAATATATAAGATTCAATATGTTTAAATAAAATTAGCATTAAGATCTGTGTTCTCATAATCTCTTGCAGTAGTTTGTTTGTTTGTTGTTGTTTTTGTATGAAAGTGCAATATGACATGATTTCTGAAATGATTCTTTCTGCAGGTTATACTTCGTTATGCCAGTGGCGGGAAGTGAAGAAAGGTGCGTCCCAATTCACATACTTCTTTATATGCTGTATTTTAAAACCTCCCCTATCGTTATTCACTATTCCCTACACTACTCCATAGTCCACCGAGTGAGTGCTAGAATGATCGATTACAGACACATCCAGCTAACTCCCATCAATGACTCCATTTATTTCATAATACAAGATTGCACTATTGCAGTTCATAAAACTCATCTCTTACTGTACACCGCCGCCTGACTTGAAAACATGAAAACTTTGGAATATATAAAAACAATGCTGAAGAAGCCCAGCAGAAATTTAACATGGTGTAATAGTTTTTCTTAATGCTACGGTAGGCCTACTACCGAGGAACATGTCCTGGAGTCAGAAATAGATTACTGGACCATATAAACATTTACAGTAGAACGAATTAATAATAATAAAAAACCGTTTTACCTCTTAGATAATTTAGCTAGTATTAATTTGGTGTTTAATGTGTGTAATTATTATATTATATGTATCGTTTAAAGTTTGTTGGTAATCAATAGCCAATCAGACAACACCAACGATACATGCAGGGTTATGTTATTGGCCAAAGTGCTTGTCAATCATCCCCGTTACCGCCCAATCCCATGATGCTTCACTTTGGGATCCGTTTCTACACATTTTTAAGCGTTTCGAGCTAATTTAGTGTATTAACTAATAAATATATCTATAACATTGTACGATCGATTATACAGTTTACAATTAACGGGAAATTGTGAAGCATAATAAAACGTATTGTTGTTTTGAGTGGCCAGATAATTGTTACCCTCGGTGAGACGCGTTGACTCCCAGTATATGAAGTCCAGCTGATCTCTGTTTACGTTAAAAAGGGCATCTGCCGTGAATGGCATAGCTGTGGAAGGGATTCTCTGACACAGTTACGGAATCGCTATCAAGAGATTTCGGATGCACAATTTTTAAAAATCTGGAGCTGCTATTGACCGTTTGTTCATGGCGCTCCTAATCTTCAAGTTGTAACGATAGACTGAAGTATAAAGTAATGGAGTAGGGATTTACAGTGTTAATATTATGACTTATTTTGATGTGGACTGTCGCTAATATTTGTTATCGAGTGGGTGTGTTACATTAAAATAAACATTTTTTGTGGAAAAAAAATACTGTAATTTTATCAGATGATATTATGAGAGGTTACCATATTCATGTTCAACACATAGGCCTACATATTATGGTACTGAAACTGGTTTATATTGAATGTAAATTGGGGTGGATTACCAAATTGAAAAAAAAAAAAAACCTAAACCCAGTTATTGTAATTACTTTTTATGGATTTTTAAATACCTGTTACCAAGCTAGTGAATTAATGAGTTTCCACAGGTATACTAATAACAGTGTATGAATCCATTCGATATGTTTTCAAATTGTAGGCTACTCCACACAAGCAGGCGCAGAGAGCAGTATAGCGGTAAATATTATTTATATGAGACTTATTATAGAAACAGTGACCTTTTAAAGTTTTAAGCTGTACCATAACATCACAGCTACTTTAACTGGCACTGTTAAATCCATGAACCTTGTATATTTTAGTACGATCAGTCGTGTGTACTGTAAAGTCTCTCATGGCTTGAGCTGTAACAGGGACGAGCTTGAGCAGGAAGTGTAGTTTAACAAACTGCGCATGTTCACTCAAAGCCTCTCGCTATGTAAGGATGACACCGACCGCGATCTAAACGGTAAGGCCAGTCCATCGCATTTCAACCTCTCTAATGTAACGGTTAAACATGACCGCGCTGCGGAGAACTTCGTCGGGACGTCGATTAGATGTGTTCGCGGCTCGAGTGGCAGCGGCAGCCCCCTCGAATGGCGGAGGAACGTCTTGTCGTTTGTGTGTGTGCGTCCCGCCGCACGGGAGACGTCATGAGAACAGAACACCGCGGCGCGACGCCAGCGCGTCATTTAGATAGCTAGCTACAGTCCGCCCGCACGGCCAGCGAACGCTTCATGAATTAGCCGCGCTTGAGGCTGTTTGGGAGTGTGATGTTTGTTTGTAAACACGCAGATTCACCCACTAACAAATAAGCAGTGAAATGAAGGTGTGTGTTAGCATAGCACGTTAGCATCACAAACAGCAGATGATGTGAATGAAATGGCGCAACATATGAAGAGCTAAAATGCTAACAGAATTAGCCACCGAAGAGCACAACACGAATATAAGTGTAGTCGCTTAGAAACATTCACCATGGCAACCAAACCCCTGTTGGTACTGCTAAATCATAATAAATGTATGAGGAGTCTCTTTCAAACGGTGTAATACTATTTTCATTTAGGTGAATACATTTTTGACAACATGTGGTTCTTAATAACAACAGTCACCAAGTTAACTGTGGTATTTTGACGGAATCAACAGAACTCATGTTACCCCGTGTTGTGATGATACTGTGAAGAAATCTCACTAAAAGTAACGTTACTATGACGAGACTGTACGATGTTCATATTCATGTAACGTTACCATGTCGTCTACTCTAACGTTACCTTTATTCAAAGAATACCATGGTATGTGTTCAATAAGAACGTGGTATAACCATGTATTTGTTATTTTATCTGATAGCATTAGCTGTTGTTTCGTTTAAGAGTCTTCATTAGACAGATGAGCAATAATTTGATAAACTGATCTAATTTAAAGGACACTAACTATATCCTCCTGACAACAGTATACATTATTTTAATTGAAAATAGTTTATGTAAAACATTTAGTTATTTTAGTTAAACCATACTTATTTTAAAGTATGTTATAGTTTTATATTTGTTTATCTTGATAGTGAAATACTTGGTCATGTAACCGTGACTTGAAGTCACTTTTCATCTCAGGCCATTTTAATAATGAATGGACCACTTTAGGTTCAGGTAACTTAACTGGCTTAAGCCTTGGAGTAAAAGTTATTTTAAATGCACAATATCCTTATTTGAATATTATGTGCTAAGACACTAGCTTGAAGATTTGCTTTATCACACAGTTCGCTTTCATCTGTTCATACTGAATTTAATGCTAGTAGAATTAGACCAGTTGTCTGCTGAGACTGGTTTACCAATGGGGAGGTATTCTCTGACACATTAATGAGATCACTATAAAGAGATTTTTGGATGCATTATGTTTGTAATTTAAGATTACCATTGAACGATTTTCTTGGTGCTTTGATTTTTAACTGTAAATAAAAGAAACCGAAGTATAAAAGCATTACGCAATGGTGTTATAAGTTGAAATTTTCCATGTTAAGCTTATGTCACCATTGTTAATGTGTGAAGCACATTATAACATTTATATGATTTACTAATAACACGAAAAAAAGAAAAGAAAAGCACAATAAAACCAGGACAGTGGTTTAAGAAAATGATATGGTCAATGTTGATTTTTAATGTTGGATATATCAGGCAATACATATTCTGAAATATATTCAGTAGTTAAATGGAATTTAATGGCAAAAGTTTGATATAATTATGATTTTGAAAGTCTTTGTGTTTGAAAGAAGTCTTATGCTCACAATGGCTGCATTTATTTGTTTAAATATACAACAAAACTGTTATATTGTGTAATATTATTATACTTTAAAAGAACGGTTCTCTATTTTAATATATTTTAAAAATGTAATGTATTCATGTAATAGCAAAGCTGAATTCAGCAGCAGTCTTCAGTGTCACACGATCCTTCAGAAATCATTCTAGTATGTGACTAGACCACAAATCCAGTCACATCCAGGGTATTTTTTTTGTAAAATTGAGTTTTATGCATTATATGAAAGCTGAAAAAATAAGCTTTCCATCGATCTTATGGTTTGTTAGGTTCGGACAACTATTTGAAAATCTGGAATCTGAGGGTGCAAAAAAATCTAAACATTGAGAAAATCGCTGTTAAAGTTGGACATTTACAAAATATCTTCATGGAACATAATATTTACTTAATATCCTAATGATTTTTGGCATAAAAGAAAAATCTATGATTTTGACTCATACAATGTATTGGCTATTGCCACAAATATAGGCTACCCGTGCGACTTTTGACTGGTTTTGTCGTCAAGGGTCACATATGCTAATTTGGTGCTCAATTATTATTATTGATATACTCAATTATTATAATAATAATCTTAATTATTCCAAAGATTTGACTGGTATAGCTCAAATATTCACCATGAATTTCATACTCCTCAGTGTTGAAGGATGGCAGAGACAGAAGTCACTGTGTCCGTGGAGGACATGGTGATGATGAAGAGCACAGAGGAAGAGGATATGGAGCCTGACAACCAAAGCAAGACTCAGATGATCCTACAGCTGCAGCCCATCACCGCGGGGTAGGTGTGAGGATCCTAAACTAGACAGCTAGGTATATCAAAAGAGTCACGCATATTATAATACTTTATATGTCATATTAAACAAAGACCGAAACAGCTGAATTCCTGGGAGTTAACAGGTGGAGATTGATGTTATAGATGAATATTTCATGTTTGTAGGCTTGGAGATGAGAGCGGTGAGACGGATGCTGCAGTTGTGGCAGTGGAGACACAAGGTAAGCCTCATATGTTCTTCATTTAATGTAGTCTTGTAGTTTAAATAATTATATATATAATTATTTAAATATTAAATAAATATTATATAATTTTTAGACTGTAATCTGTCTGTCTGCTCAAATTTATCAGCGCTCTCCAAGCAGTGGATTATGCTTCTGTTTCTGTCACTAAATAAACTGTATGCAGTTTTCCCACAACACTGCTGTGTGTGTGTGTGTGTGTGTGTGTGTGTGTTCAGATGAGGCATCTGCTGAAGGAGAGGATTTGGAGCTTGGTTATCCTATTACATGTGGCGAGAGTAAAGCCATCCTTCTATTCAAGAAGTTTGTCTGCCCAGGAATCAATGTCAAATGTGTAAAGGTTGGTGTCGTTCAGACCTTAATGCTTCAGATAATAACAGTTGCTAATGTGTTTAATCTGGTTTTCTCTGTTTCTCTGCAGTATGAGGATCAGTTGATTAGTCCAAAGCAGTTTGTGCACATGTCGGGTAAAGCCACTTTGAAGGACTGGAAGCGAGCGATCCGGATGGGTGGGGTCATGCTCAGGTAATAAGCATTCTGGGTCTGTTCAGGTCCAAAAATAAATAAATTCTCGTAGAATTAAAACGAATACGATCTCTGTCCACACCAGCGTTTTATCTGCGTATTAGAATTGATCTCCGTCCACATTAAAACCATAGACATATACACTAGACGTCACCTTGGGGTTCTGAGCATGCGTCAAAACCGCCGCCATCTTGGAAAAGGGGTCTGTCATAGGAAGTATTTATTTTTTATTTATTTATTTGACAGGGAAAGTGTACATTAATTAGCATTACTGCAAATGTACTAGAATTTTTCATCCAGTGTCCCTGGATAGATGTTAATATTGTCTACCTTAAAAAGGAAAATACAAAATATAAAAACAATATAAATCGCTAAATCCTTTAAGTAAATACAGTGTACAAATTCATTATATTATCAACATTTTGGCAAAATATAAACAGTTACTCAACAAGGACACAGATGGCAGCACGATCAGGTCAGGAGAAATGATATACTTATTAGTGCTGACATGACTGGTGTAATATGAGCCGGTTTTTTAAGTGCTTTTTAAACAAAGTGTAAGTTGTAAGTTCTCTAATATTCTGAGGAACAGAGTTCCAATTTAGCTAGGTAAATTTAGCTTTAGCAAAGTAGCTAGGTAACACTGCTATCTCTGCCTTCCCTTACGAAAAAGAAGTATATTTCAAGTTCATTTTATGTAGTATACTTAAGTAATGTTCAAGTATATTTTAAGTATACATTAAGTATACTAATGTCACTATGTACTAGTAGTAAACTTGTAAGTGTACTATTTTAATACCGCTTGGGACTGAATTGGCCCACTTTTAGTACATAAAAGTATATGTTTAAGTGTACTATAAGTGTAACAGTAAGTGCACAACTAGTTCATAATTATGTATCTCATGTGTACTGCAAGTGAATTTATGGGTATGCTAGTAGTTTACTTTTTTACTGTAATACTTATACAAGTATACTTTGAATACTTAATTATACTTTTAAGTATTTCTGGATCAAAAGATTGAGTACAAGAACAGGACAAATATACTTGCCTTTCTCTCAGTATAAGTCAAGTACATTTAAGTGTAATTTGAAGTATACTTCTGAGGAGTACAGGAAAAATAAACTGAAAGTATTTTTAGTTTAAAAGAAGTATACTAATGGCACACTTGAATAAACTTTTTTTTCGTAATTCATTGATGGTGGCGGACTTTTGTGCAGCGTATGATGAAATCTAAACTAGGAATTATGTTTTTTTTTTTTTTTTTTTTTCTGGAATCAATGATAAATAAATGCCTGACCGTTGCAACGAACCAAAAAAAATGAGAAAATCGCATTCATGATGATTTATGGTGATTTTATTTCCGTTAAACATGTCTAGATTGACGCTAATGATGGCGGCTCTATTGACGCATTTGTTCTAACGAACTGCCGTAGCCAAGGTGACGTCTTATTGATATATGATTGATATCGTCCTCTAACTTTCTCTGAGCTCCGCTAATCGTGTCTGTTCTGTTTGTGATTGTTCTGATGACAGGAACACCACGAGCTGTGGCAGTTTTACTATATTTTACTCTTATCATTAGCACTTCCAGATGGATCACTGCCTAACACTGGAAACCCATTTATTACAATAGATCAAAGAAATATTTTTCAATAAATATTCTTTAGCTAAGTATTAGTCTTAAATCTTGTGCATCAATTTAAAAAAGTTACACATAGGTAAAAAGAGGACAAAAATGTCCATGTCAAAAAACTGTCATAAAAATGTGACTCTTCGGAGCACAGACTTAAGTTTGGTATCATTTTAAAGAAGACCCTTTGCAGATTATTGCTGAAGTAAAAAATAATAATAATAAATAAATCCAAAAAAAAGTTATATAGGTATAAGTTTATGAAAATTATTTATAAAATATATATTTTCTAAATCAGGTTGAACTCAAAACTGCAATAAAATCAAAGCCATAAATCTAAATAGGTTGTGTTCCAAATTTGAGGATGATATCTCAAAAAATGAGCTTTGGGTAACAGTTTGTTTGGGCGCAGTAACATATTTTCCCCATTGGGTGGCAGCAAAACCCCACTGGAGCTCACAGTGATTTTGAATTTGCAGTTTTTCTCTCTCAGTATTACAAACACACACATATTTTTTTATAACACACATACTAACCACACTCTGACATCCATACCAACACACCCACACAAATATTGTTGCATAATTTATCCAGTCGGCTCTATAATATGCCGAAGCAGAAAACAGGAATAAAGCGATATTTGTTTTATAGGCCAAACTTTAAAAAAAATGACACCATCTGATAAAAAATAGTCAAAAATAAAATTTTGAAGCCTTGCCATCAGAATGAAAGCCTCTAAACAAAGATTGCATAATTCTATAGTTAACTAAACCGGCGATTAAAAATGGCAGTTTTCAATGAAGACATTTGTGTCCAAAAGGTGCTGAGAGGGAGTATTTTTTGTACCTAATGCAAAAAATATTTTTTTTAAGAAAATGACGGTGAAATAGTAAAATTCCAATAAAAATACACACCTGTGCCAAGTTTTTTGCAGTTAGCTTTAACACAGGCAAAGTGATCCAAAAAAACAAAACTGAAAAGGACAAAAATGTCCATAAGGATGCACAAGGGTTAACCTCTGAAAGCTGTGTGTGTGTGTGTGTGTGTGTGATGTAGGAAAATGATGGACTCGGGTCAGCTGGATTTCTATCAGCACAGCTCTCTCTGCACCAACACCTGCCGCAGCACCAAGTTTGACCTGCTGATCAACAACACACGCTTCCCACCGGACGGCAGTGGGCTGAACACACCCACCACAGCTCAGGGTTAGGACACACACACACACACACACACACACTCTATTCAGCTTTGGCCATATCGCCAAAAATCACACAATTTTCTGTAAAATACATTGTCATTGTTTCCATTTACCACTAGAACAAATAACACTACATATTGTGTGTGTCCTGCAGGGCATGTTTCTGTGGGTAACGGATGTCCGATGGCCACGGTAGAGGAGAAGAAAGAAGACGTGATTGGTTCTGTGGAGTGGAGTCCAGCCGCCATCGAAGCCTCAGAGAAAAGGGACACTAATGACATCTCAGGTAAACACAGATTCAGAAAGTCTTGTCGTCAGCGCTTCACATCATACTATAGGATGTGTGTGACCCCTAGATGAGACGCTGAGTTTCTGGAGGGGTATCGCTGAGGTGGGCATGATGGGAGAGGTGGTGCCCAATATCCGCTCAGAGCTGCTGGGTCTGCTGAGAGGAGTTCAGCTGCGCTCGGATCAGAGCTCTCTACAGGATGCAGGTCAGTGATCTGTGCCCGCTTCGTCTACTCCTGTCCAGCTCCAAACTTTAATGACCTTTCACAAGATGTAAAATAAGTCTCTGATGACCCCAGAATGTGTCTGTGAAGTTTCAGCTCATGATACTCTGGGTTGTCGCTGAGAAACACAAGTTTGAGCTCCCAAAGATGCTCTAGACTGAAAACGTCATGTCTGCTGTTTGCTATGTTGTCTGTGTTTGTTTGTCACAAGCGCTGTACTGTACACACTGCATGGTATCGGAGCATTTTAACGAGTACACAAACGTAGTATCGATGCATCCATAATATATATTAAAAAAAAATTATGTAGTACATTTGAAAAATAATATAACCTTTATACTAGGACTGTCAATCAATTTACAATCTTTAGTTGAATTTAAAGACAGGCTTCACAAGATTAACCCCATTGATGTATTTTCTTTTTGGGGCATCTTGTTGGCTGGAGTTTAACCCTCTGGGGTTGTTCGGCCCAAATGGACCTGAAGAATTTAATTTTTTTTTTTTTTAAATCACAACTTCCTCGGAATTGTCTGAAATTTGGTGACTTTGTTGGTATTTGGTATTTGAACACCCAAAAAAAATTGGGGACGGGATGTGAATAGTCTAAGTGGTTGTAAAAAAATGGACCTGCATGGAAAATGAATGGGAAATTGGCAAAAATGTGAAAATAGTGAGTTTTTTTGTGCGTACAATCTACAAATCAGCCACGATCTTGAAAAAAAGCACACAACAGTGAAGGGGTGAATCTATAAAACATCCAGACACACACACACACACAAATATACTTTTATACACAAACACACCAAAAAAATCAGATTATACATGTGTTTTGCATTTTTAAAAAGCTCAGTTTGTCCACCAGATGGCATCCATCTCATTTCAAAAATTGCTTTTATGAGGCCTAGGCTTGACTCCAAAATGAAATACAGCTATATATATATATTTTTGTATTATGTTCAATGGGGGGAAATTTTGTCATAATTATTGCATTAATACTAATTATAATTTTTTTTTATTTTTTTTAAATTTTCTCAAAACACCAAAAAAGAAAAGAAAAAATATTATAAAAAATGAGTAAAAAAAAAAAAAAATCATTTTTTTTTTAAAAATATGAATCCCGCCCTTTGGGTCCATTTGGACCCGAACACTCCGAGTGTGACTCTGAAACGAACAACCCCAGAGGGTTAAATAGGGGATTAGAGATCCATGAAAAACACATTTAGTATGTCAAGTTGTTTTGTTGTGTTATTCAGACGCAGTGGGAAAAGTGTTGCATGAGATGTGATCATCACATGGTCTGTCTTGCAGAGATTGCAGTTCTGAGCAACCTGGCACAAGTCTTTAACCTGCTAGACTCCATCAAACAAATTGTGAATGTTCGAAGGCAAATGACGGACCCAGAGCAAACTCAGACGCTCCGGACACTGACAAGTGAGTGAAGTAGGGACGTTTGCACACTGGAACTTTTGGTGTTTTCCTGTTCAACAAGATAAAACTGTGCTACTGGTAATTGTCCAAGAAATGTACGGCAAGTGTCACGAATATTAAACCTCAATTGCATTTGAAAATAACACACCGTAAACCCTAAACCAGACCGATTGTAAACGAGAGATGAAAATGCCATTTTAGTTTGCTTCTGCATATCTTCGAGCGCTTCTTTTTGAGCGTCGTAGCTGAAGTTTAGTGATTTAGAAAGCCATACATGCGGAAGCTGGTAATGCGATGCAAACATTAAAGTAGATTACAAACATACAATTGAGCAAAAAAATAAAATAAAAAACCCACACAAAAAAAAATTCTTTATTAACCGATAATCTACCTCTGTAATTGTAATTTGTGTGAAAATGGAAAATGGAAAAGGTATTAGCACAATTTCATGCCAACATTATGGGGGTTTTAAAGACTGAGACGTAGCCCTCAATCGGGTCCTGGGGTGTATACGACCCCAATCGACTTTTACTTAATAAAAAAAAGGTTCCCTTGGCTTGATTCGGTTGTTCTGAAGGTATGTAAAATAAATGTTTACACTTATGGTCTTCGGGGTCAATATGACCCCACATTGAAATGAATGGAAAATGTGAAAAAAAAAAAATAAAAAAAAAAATAAATATTTTCTTCATGTGTCAAAAAAAAAAAAAAAAAAAAAAATGCGGCATAAATCTGAAAATTTTTACACAGAAATGAAGGCCTGGTACTAGAGCATAAATGCAATGTATCATAAAAAATAATATGCTAATGCTAAAACTAATGGTGTAGTTGAGGAATGGATACAAAAGTCTCCAAAAACACAGCATTAATGAATAGATGAGAAGTAAACAAACATGATATATTATATCTATGATTAAAAATGTATATTTTTTGTCCAATTACTCAATCAATTGTTGGGGTCGTATCGACCTTATTCAGAGCAGCGCCATGACAGGTATGAAAGTGAAACTGTGAGGGATAGACTTACCGTGTTTCCAACGGTATCCGCTGTAAAAAGCTGAAGATTACTTACAATACGTTGTTGGGAGTTGTTTGTCAACCGACATTTCTTGGAAAGATATTTTTCCAGTGTTTCATGAGCAGAACTACGGAAGCCCTGAACCGCAACCTAAAAAATAAAAATAAAAAATCAGTAAAAAAAAAAAAAATCTGTAAAAAAAAAAAAAATCTGTAAAAAAAAAAAATCTAGCATTTCGAGATTAAAGTCGAAATGTTTCGAGATTAAAGTCGAAATGTTTCGAGATTAAAGTCGAAACATTGTGCATTCATAACAGTGCGCGTCCACTGGCTCAGAGCGCGCGCGTGTGTGTGTGAAGTCGAACTGCCATGGATAAACACAAAATAGTAGCTTTTTACTTTTATCTGGGCTTTCAACAAAATTCTCCACACGTCACCCGTGCTAGTGTCAGTGTTTCTGAGGTGTTTTCGTGCTCGTCTAGTCAACACTATCTGGGTCGAGAACACAACAGGAACTGTTCGGTCTCCCTCTTCACCGTAAATACGCTCTGGATACATTTTAAGTGCATCATTCTGTATCCAATCATTTGGCCGGATCCTGTGATTTCCTAAGATTTAATAACCACTTATGGTTGAGGAGAGATTCTCTGATATAATTGTAAAGCACTTTGAGTGTAGGCATATATGAAAGCGCTATATAAATGCCCTATTCATTCATTCATTCATAAAGCTGGATTTCTCCATCCAGTCTGAAAAGTGTTTTCCGTGTTGGTTGGTTTTCCTATAGGCTAAAGTCTATTCCGGCGTATTATATTTTATAACGATAAAGTAAGATAAGTAATTCAGATAAAAGTAAAAAGCTACTATTTTGTGTTTATCCATGGCAGTTCGGCTTCACACGCGCGCGCTCTGAGCCAGTGGACGCGCACTGTTATGAATGCACAATGTTTCGACTTTAATCTCGAAACATTTCGACTTTAATCTCGAAACATTCCGACTTTAATCTCGAAACATTTCGACTTTAATCTCGAAATGCTAGATTTTTTTTTTTTTTTTTTTACAGATTTTTTTTTTTTACCTTTTTTTTTTTTTTTGGTTGCGGTTCAGGGCTTCCGTAGGATCCAAAAACACATTAGTTAGCAGTACAGCCCATTGAAGAGATGCAAGTCTATCCCTCACAGCCTCGCTTTCATTCTCATTAAAAATCAAAGATGGCGCTGCCGTGAATAAGGCGTATAGATCCAGAAGTGTAAACCGGAAACGAAGACCATTTGAAGGTCAAAGAAATCTGTAATGTAAAGCTGCTTTGAAACAATCTGTACGGCAAATAGCGCTATATAAAAGAAGGCTAAGAGCACTTGCTACCCATCCTTGTAAACAGTCGTGTCTGTTGTGTGTGTTTAGCGTTGGAACAGCAGGTAGAGGAGCAGAAGAGGCAGCAGTCCCTCAGCTGGTCGTCTCAGTCGCAGGTCCTCAGCGGTCTGGTCCTCCCCTCCACCCCTCCGGCCAAACGCGCTCCCAAACGGCCCCGGCTCCAGCGGCCCGCCTCCACCACCGTGCTCGGCACGTCCATGGCCCAGCCGCTCACCCTCCAGCCCCAGCAGTTCACCGTCATCTCCCCCATCACCCTTTCATCCATCGGTCAGTCGTTTACAGTGGCTGGCCTCAATCAGCCATCCAACACCGTGACCCTTCACGCCCTCCCCGCAGGCTCACAGCTCTTCACGAGAATCGCCGGAGGATCCGACGGGAAAGCCGAAGCCATCGCCCTCCATCCCGCGTCTGGGCTCACGTTACTGGGCGCCACCGCCATGCAGGAGCACGCGCAGCTCGGCACGGTCATGAGCCCCGTGGAGCTCGTCCAGCTGACGCAGAAGATGACGTCTGCAGGGGTGACCCCGGTCGTGATGCAAGACGGCGTCGTCAGGGTCATGCGAGAGGACGAGAGCCAGGAGAGCGCCACCTTGATCGAGATCGACCCAGCGTCCGCCGACCACGGCGTGAGCGTCATGGAGCTGCAGCTGGAGGGAGACGAGGCGGAGGACGGCGCCACCGTGATGGAGGGAGGAGGCGAGGAAGGCCAAACAGAGGAGATACAGCTGGACGCCAATGGTCACTTCCACAATTTTCCCATTGTAGTGGTGGAGGAAGAGACGCAGGACGCCGGCAAAGACAAGTGATCCGCCCTCAGAGACTGATGGACCCAATCAGACAGGGACGGGGATCGTGTCGCCCTTCCAGCTTTCATTTCTTATTCCCGCACAGCCAGTCACAACAGTCGCGTATTTGTAAAAGCTAATTCAGTATTCCTTTTTTTACACGTAAAAAGCAACCGTTTATGATGTGTTGTTAGAACACGTTCAGTATTTGCTTTGGAAGTTTAGGCACTTATTTTCCGTTTTCCTTCCGTTTCGGTGCCAAAATGTCACATAGTCGCCCGATTTCAAGTTCAAGACTGATATTTAAGACACTCCCATAATAATTAAAGGATTAGTTCACTTTTGAAAAAACTTTTGCTGATAATTTACTCACCCCCATGTCATCCAAGATGTCCATGTCTTTCTTTCCTCAGTCGAAAAGAAATTTAGGTTTTTGATGAAAACTTCACAGGATTTTCTCCATATAATGGACTTCAATGGGAACCAAACGGTTCAAGGTCCAAAAAGAGTTTCAGATGCAGCTTCAAATGTCTTTAAACGACACCAGACGATGAATAAGGGTCTTATCATGCGAAACGAGCGGTTATTTCAAAACTGTAACTTTTCTAAGGACAAATGCTAGCCTTGCTCTATTCTGAGGCGCGTTTGTAACGTCACGTAATACGTAATTACGTTCAAAAGGTCACGGGCGACGTAGCCGGACGTACAGAGTCAGTGTTTACAAGTTGAACGCATAGGTTGAACGTATAAACTAACTCAAACGCCGTTTACAAAAAAAGGAATTAAAAGGTAAAACAACGATGTCGGACGATTTTGATTCTGTACTTCCGGCTACGTCGCCCGTGACCTTTTGAACGTAATTACGTATTACGTGACGTTACAAACGCGCCTCACAGAATAGAGCAAGGCTAGCGTTTGTCCTTAGAAAAGTTACAGTTTTGGAATAACCGATCGTTTCACATGATAAGACCCTTATTCATCGTCTGGTGTCGTTTAAAGACATTTGAAGCTGCATCTGAAACTGTTATTAACTGTCTTTTGGACCTTGAACCGTTTGGACCCCATTGAAGTCCATTATATGGAGAAAATCCTGGAATGTTTTCATCAAAAACCTTAATTTCTTTTCGACTGAAGAAAGAAAGACATCTTGGATGACATGAGGGTGAGTAAATTATCAGCAAAAGTTTTTTCAAAAGTGAACTACTCCTTTAATAATCATTTACACTGTCTGTCGGTGTCTCTGTGTGTTTTCTGACATCAGGGTATGTAGAGTTACTCAGCCCTGCCCCGGGAGATCCACTGCCCTGCGAAGCTTTTGATTTTCAGACGATCTGGAAGAGCTTGATGAGAAGGACGTTTGGTCCTCAGGAGTTAGGGTTGAACGCCTCTGTCGTATTGTTAGTGATATTTTAGCACAGTTGTTCTCAACCCACATCACTCCCTTATCTGACAGACGGTGTTCGGTTTATGCGGCTCTCTGCTAATGATGTGTGTAAATAAGGGAGACAAAAGGCTCAGAGCTGATTAGCACATGTTCAGAATGTTTGTGAATGGATCGTGTGTGTCCTTCACTGAAAATAAAAGATATTCCTTTTCCTGCGAGTTATGATTGTAGAATGAAGGATTGTGCATTTTAAAGTCTGTTACAGTTATTTTTTGGACAAAAGTAGAAGCAAAAATACTTGTTTGGACGTTTATAAGTGCACTTTTGCAAAAGAAAATAATTTTTACATTTAAAGAAGTAGTTCATGAATTATTTACTCGTTCTCGTGTCGTTCTAAACCCACAGACGAATGGAGATGTTTAGCAGAATGTTCACTCTTATGAAGCTTGTTTATATTAATTAAATTGAGGTAATATCACAATTCTTGAATATTGTGTCCCCAACTCTAATTCATTACACACAATCAACTTAGTTTATATAATTGATTTGTCTTGTGTAATTTATACCATGAACTGAATTGAATAGATCTTCTCTTATGAAGTAAATAGACCGTTATGATACTGACACCTAAAAACCTGCAATTATATATATTCGACCTAATCTCATATGAGAAAACACATAAATGTTACGGTTTGTGAAGAGAAAGAAATATATATATATACACGCTTAATTTAAGATTTTTTTGTCTCTTATACTCAAGAAATTGTAAAATATTATACTAATATATTTTCTATTTCAATATACTTTATTCTACTTCAGATTCACATCATTCTAATATGCAGTTGATGCTCAAGAAACTTTTTTTTGTTATCATTATCAATGTTGTAAACAATCATGATACAGTTCCATTCAAAATGTTAGAGTAAATAAGATTTTTTTTTTTTTATTCAACAAGGATGCATTAAAGGGTTAGTTTTGTTTGTTTTTGCGCACAAAAAGTGTTCTCGACGTTTGATAAAGTTAAGATTGAGCCGCTGTAGTCACTTGGACTATTTTAACGATGTCTTTAATGACTTTTCGATGCCAGCAAGAGTCATTCCCTCAAGAAGCCTATGGAGCGATCTTAATATCTTAAATATCTTAATTTGTGTTGCGAAGATGAACGAAGGTCTTACGGGGTTGGAACAACATGAGGGCGAGTAAATACTGACAGAATTTTCATTTTTGGGTGAACTAACCCTTTAAACTGATCAAAAGTGACAGTTAAGATATGTATAATATTTAAAAAAAAAATAGATTTAAAATAAATGCTTTTGAACTTTCTATTCATCAAAATAGTCCTGAATAAAAGTATCACAGTTTCCACAAAAATATTATGCAGCAAAACTTGCTAATAACCATTTATTGAGTACCAATAATGTAGATCAGCGTTTCTCAGCCTTGGTCCTGGTCCAACACGGTACATTTGGATACCTTTTTGCTCATCTGACAAATATATTTCCGATCCTTGAGTTTCTTCTAATGAGCCGATGAAGGACCAGAACCTAACAGACGGAGGTAAAAGCCAATTCCAATGTTGATTTCATGATGTCTTGAGCATATTAGTCACTAGGGGGCACTTGAGCTCCACTGGGTCTGTTGAGGAGATAGGAACGCACTAAATATGTAGCTAGTAGCTAATCCTCTTTGTAAGTGGGTAGCCTATCATCTTTCTGTGAGTGTGATTATGAAAATCTGAACTATGTGTGGGTGCATCTGCTTTAATGAAGAGCAGAAATAAGTAGGCTAGAGTAGACTGCTGTAATCGGCATCTCCCCTTCTCTCTCTCAGTGATACGGCGGCTGCTAAATCAGGGCTGTCAGTGTCAGCTCTTGTCTCTGTGATGATGTTTCTGCTGTTCACGGCCTGTTTGAGCCGCTTGTCATCACAGCTGCAAAATCTAAACGCCCGGACAGCTGACGGTGCACTCTGAGGACGCTCAGGTCAGGACTTTAAGGCATATACAGTATATTGTCTCCCCTCTTGTTGAAATCACTCCCTCTTAAATCTTAATTCTTATTCGTCAAGCGATTAAGCTAAAGTCAGGTCAGATTGATTTGTATTTAGGAGATGAGCGCTTCAACTGCACCAAAAATTCATAATTACTGGTGGGAAGCTCAGGAGCCGATCAACTGATATCCCAGCAAACACAGAACGCTAACGTTCCCGAATGGTCCCATGAGGTTATTTTTGGGGAACCAAACAAGAACGTTATCTACAAGTTTCCTACGCCCCATGAGGCATTGCGTCAAAAGTGGGCGCGACTTCCGGTTCGAAGTAAACAAAGCGCGACTTGACATACTTCACACTCGTTCATTCAACAGTTGACAGTCATTCAAGTTATAGCGATCCAAACTAGCTAACGATGTGGGAACACATCCTCAACGAAATTAAAAAGGGTGAAATAACCCTCCGCAGTAGTTGGTTGGGAGTATTATAATAACATTATTAATAATTAATACTCATCAAGGCAGTTGTGTGAGCTGACAAACAATTAAAATAAAAAATACACACTTAGTCATTGAGCTTTGGAGTTTTTTCAAAATTATAAATGAATGTGCTGCTTGAATACATTAACTGGCACATTTGGTATTCTGTCAACACAGGCTTTGATCCTGAGTTTAGCTGTAATTCAGTAGCGAACAGCCAATCACATGCTGATAGAGTTTATAGAATATTAAGAATTTAAACAAATCTACACAGGAAGATTCGTCGTCTTTTGGAAACTAACGTTACAGTCGTTGGCAGGATCACTCGGCTTATGTTCAAAACAATCACGTTTAAGCCACTGAATTAGTTTAGTCCGGTTATACGTACAACCGCGAACAGCACATGTTGTCCCTGAGCTCCGTAACGACATCTCTCAGAAAGATTTGCGTCTTTAAATAGTAAAATAATTCTCCGAAAAACAGCTAGCCTCTTCGCTAACTAACACACAAAATACCATTGGAATGCTACTTCCGCCGCGTCACCGGAAGTTTCACCCACTTTATTTTTTACAGGAGCGCCCCTCGGAAACTTGTGGATAGGAACGTTTCATGCAGGATATTTTTAGGTTCCATTTTTATAACGTAAGGAGTTTTATGTCCCGGGAACGTTCCCTTAACCTTAAAGGAAAGTTCTAGGAATGCTCTGGGAACCAAAAACTAACGTTCCCAGAACCTAAATTTGTTTAGATTGTTGATCTTTACTTGCACGTCTTTTGCTTTTAATCTTTGTAGTTGCGCTAAAACTCTTTCTGTCTTTTGTTGGAAAATATTGGTCATCACATCCATATTATTCAGACCAAACGCATATCACAATGATTTCTAAGCTCATAAGTAGAAACTTTCCAGAATGATTAAAAGCATAGCAATGATTTTTTTTTCTTGTGTGGTCATGGCAACGAAACCAGCCACTATAATAAATGAGGAGTAAACGGCACGTTTCATGAATATCAGAATGTGACCCTTGGCCATACGTTTGAAAAGATTGGACATGTCATTATATGCCTTTGATCAGAACAACACCTGCCACTTCTTTAGTTTTCTTCACATAAATGAGCTGAACGATTCTGTAATATTTTACAGCAGGTATCTATCTTCACATAATTATGCTGAGTTTAGTGAATGCAGCATTATATTCTCTAATGAGCCTCATTCACATTGAAAATCGGTGTTGGAGAATGACTGTAAAGTAATGTAGCCTACACTCAAGTGGCAAATGTTAGTTGAACTTGCCCCAATGTGAATGAAAGATGATTTATAAACATATTTTTAAAGATTCTTCCTATGTACCCAAATCTTTCAAAACTTCTTTAATTGACAAGTTCTAGATTTATCTCCTCACTTCTAATCTTGCTGAAAGTCTTACAGCAATTTAAACAGTGAATTCATTATATGTCTCAGTGTGGACACTGTAGTCAGATGGTACCAAGACAGCATCATATGTGATGAAGGTCTTAGAGACGAATGCTTGAAAAG